GCAAACCTTTCATATTCCACCCAACTAGAAAGAATGCAAGCAGCAAAACTTAGTAAGGTAACGTCAATTTATAGTCACAGAATCGTACACACCTTTAGCACAGAAAAAAAGCGCTTCAGCATAGTGCATTCACGCCAGTCATAAATAAGCAGCCAACTGTTCTAACTATATTTTCTAGCATTTGTCCTATCGCGTTGTATGTCTTGGACACACAAGTGCATATTTAAATACTTCTTGATTATTACGAGAGATTCTGCCTCTCCACCTTTTTAGGTAGTGAGTCCTAGATTCCCACCACCCTCCTGGTAAAAGCCTTTACCTGTAAACCTTCTGTCCTTCACCATCAAAATATGCCCCTGGTCATTCATTCTTACAAAAATGGGAAAAGTTTCTTCCTTTTTGCCCTAACTCTGTCACTCATAATTCTATAGGTCACAATTACAGCTTCTCCTATTTTTATTTGCACAAAGTAAAATTTCTCTTCACAACTGAAACGTTCTAGTCAAGCCAAAGACCAGCAGAGAGATGTTGGCATGGGCATAGTTGATGACAATGAGCTGGCTAAGGACTGATGGACTCTCTTCAACCTATATCTTTCTTTTCTGTCCTTACTCTTAAATTATTCAAACCAATGCAGTGTTGTGGCGACAAATTAAAGCTTTTCACTGTATTTTATTGTATTCTTACTGTAAAATACATGTGACAATAAAAGCAAAACCAAATTTTAAAAATCCTTATAAGTCTCCTCTGCTATTATTTCTATCCTATGATGTGGATTGCATACAATCCTCTAGCTACGGTCTAAATTATGTTTTACACAGTTCCAGTGTAACCTTGGTGCTCTTAAAGTCTATGCTTCGAGTAATAAGGACAAGTACATCATATGCCTCCTTAAACACTTTATTCAACAATGCCACTACCTTAAGGAACTCATGTGCATGGACACCAAGGTCATTCTGATCCTTAGTGCTTTCCAGCATCCTAACGTTCATCATATGCTTCCTTCTGGGTCTATAGGTGTGAGACTGCAAAAGCACAGCAGGTTAGATAGCACCCGAAGAGCAGGTAAGTCCATGTTTCGGGCTGAAACCCTTCAACAGGACTAGAGAGGGGGAGGGGAGCCCAGAAATAGAGGGAGGTGGTTTGGGCTGGTCGAAAGGTAGAAGAGATGGTGATAGGTTGATGCAGGTAGGAGGTTATTGTGATTGGTCCATGGGAAGGATGGATTGGATACGTGAGTAGAAAGATGGAAAGATTAGGCCAGGTCAGGAGGGGAAGGCTGAGGTGGAGGGATTTTGAAGCCGGTTAAGTCAACATTAAGGTAATTGAGCTGTAAGCTTCCAAGGCGAAATTTATTTTTGCTCTCATTCTCCCCAGTATAGGGCAGACCACATCAGGAGCAATGGATGAAACGGATAAGGTTGGATGAAGTGCAGGTGAATCTCTGCCAGATCTGCAAAGATTGTTTTGGGCCTTGGACGGAGGTTAGAGATGTGGTGTGGGGGCAAGAGTTGCATCTCTTGTTGTTGCAGGGAAAGGTACCGGCTGTGGTGGAGGAATTGGTGGGGAGTGTAGAGCTGACAAAAGAGTTATGAAATGAATGGTCCCTGCGGAAAGCAGATATGGGTGGTGAGGAAAATATCTTTTTGGTAGTGGGGTGTGATTGTAGGTGGCGGAAATGTCAGAGGTTCTTGCATTGGGCTCAGAGGTTGATGGGTGTGGTACGTGAAGACTAAGGTGACTCTATCCTTATTGCTGTTGAGGAGATGTTGTTTGAAGGCAGAAGTGTGGGAAATGTAGGAGATGCAGATGAGGGCATCCATAATTACAGAGGAAAAGCACTAGACTCCCCACGAATTCCTCCACCACACCCGGTACATTTTCCTGCAACCGCAAGAGGTGCAATGCCTGCCTCCACACCTCGCCTCTTATTTCCATTCAAGGCCCAAAACAATTCTTCCAGATCTGGCAGAGATTCACCTCTACTTCATCCAACCTTATGTGTTGCATCCATTGCTCCCAATATAGTCTCCTCTACATCGAGATGCCAAACGCAGACTTGGGGTCCAGTGTGTGGAACATCTGTGCTCTGCACCCAACATCTAACCCGACTTTCAGGTTGCCATCCATTTTAATTGCCCCTTCCATTACCCTCACAGCATGTCTATCCTTGGCCTCCCCCACTGTCAGAGTGAGGCCAAACGTAAACTCAAGGAACAAGTCCTGATATTTCCTCTTGTAAACTTACAGCCCAATGACCTCAACATTGACTTCAACAACTTCAAAATTCCTCCATACTCAGCTGTATCACTTGTCTAGTCCTCCCCCTCCTGATCTGACCAAACCTGTCCATTGTTCCTATTCACCTATCCACTCCACCCTTCCCAAGGAACAATCACAATAACCCCTATCCGCATCAACCCATGACCATTTCTCCTACCCTTCCCCTATCCCGAGCCACCCCTATTTATTTCGGTCTCCCCTCCCCTTCTCCAGTTCTGACGAAGGTTTTTGGCCTAACATGTTGACTTACCTGCTCCTCAGATGCTCGTCGACCAGCTGTGCTTTGCAGCCTCACATCTATAGACTCTGTTTTCCAGCATATTCATCCCCTAGTGTCTCCAAATTGTATGTTGCCTTGCCTTGTTTCTCCTGCCCAAGATCTTTCCTCTACATTTATTCGGATTGAATTAATTTTTGACTGGTCAGTCCATATGACCAGCCATATATCTCCTCTTGTAGTCCAAGGTTATTTACACCGCATCAGTTTTTGTGTCTGCCAACTTTATTGACTGAGGTACACATGTTGATCAATGGACACATGAAGACACAGAAGAAATTGTTAACTGTCATTCTGTACTGATCCGAGATCAGGCACGTAGCGTCTATCTGGTAACGCTGTTGTCTGCGGGAATGCATTGACTGTCTTTATACCTTTTCCTCATTATAAAGTGAGCAAATTATGAATAAATTCCTTTTGTCTCTGCGAAACTTTGATTTGTCAACCTGATCATTCAGTTTTGGTGCTTGATCATGCTTTGCACCAATGGAACAGGCGGGTGTTGTGGTCATGCTTGCAGAACTCCGCCTGACCCCAACTTCCACACACGCCCTCCCACCAACTTTCCCCACCGCCCCCGCCACACACACACACACACACACACACACGCGCGCTATGGAACAAAATGCATAAATTCCTCTTTGCTGCAGTGAGCTTTACATGTTGATGATGGAATGGATTCTAGAATGAATAATTGAAATTAAACATTATTAATTACATGTTAGGGATTCCATATGTTCTAGTTTTTCAATTAGCATCAGGAATCTAGTGAGATGCAAAGTATGCAAAGTCTTGCCCATTTATGGTGACAAACGAAAGCCTGCAAACAAACTATCATCATTTTAGAAACATCAGCAGCAGTTAATGTCGAAGAAGAGAACAAAGACAATTCAATAAGAGTCCGAGACTGAGAGTAGAAAGATAACGCTCCGTGGGTTTTGGGCAACAGTTTTTCGGCCTTAAATGTGTTAATGTGCCAACATATTTCTGTCTACACCTCGCGGCTTGATAATGCCTCTTAATGAAAGGCAATCATTCACTCAATCGAGAATTATTTATGGTTAAGGTCAACCAGTTATAAATCACCTTTTGACATTATTCCATACATTTAAAGATAAAAATACGATAATCCTGCAATACACCGTGGTCACAATTTGATAATCCACCAACAACTGCAGCATCAGCAAAATATAACTTAATTTAAACTGTATTACCAGTGTGGATATTCACACGCATGAGCTTTTTCAATTCCACAATATAACAAATTGATTTCACATTAATAACGTTTTGCTTGATAATGCTTTCAGAATAACATTGCAAGTCACCCAGTGAAACAATCTTTACACCATTGTACAATATGATACCTTAACAAAGTCAATGACACACCTGAATTTAATTTACCTTGCGAAATGCTGAAGTTTAATAGGAGAAATTATATTATGAAAACTATGAAATGTTAGCTGTCCCAGAAAGAAAACAAACATATTGAAGGGAGAAGGAAATTCCGTTTTGGTGCGAGCAAATTGGCCTGGTGAGGGAAAAAAATGATATTTATTGCGAGCTGTTAGCACATTACCGTTGATTAGATGGACAATTAAGACACTAAAATTGTAAATTTGCCCTGTCAAACGGAATAATTTATACATTTAAATGGATTACATTTCAGCGATGAATAGAAGTGGAATCATTAAATATGATAAAAGGAAACCTGCAATATACAG